AAAAAGGAAAAGAAAACTAAATAAGGTATTTCCAAGATTCTGATTTCTTTTTTTTTAGCCCACCCCCAACATCAGTTGTCACTGATAGTGTAAACACACACACACACACACACACACACCTTTACTTACATTTGATGATTTGATTGTACAGTTTACATCCTTAGGATCTGAAATAATGCAACAGAAAATTGAATTCATTAACATGCATATGGCATACTTTTCAAAATGTTGCTAACTGCAGTAATAAAAACTTATTATTATGAAAGGGCACAGTAATGGAAAATTGTATGTATGTATGTATGTATGTATGTATGTTTTGTTAAACTTGGAGATGGGCTAAGGTTAGAGATTTCTTTCTACCCTGGACTCAATTCTATATTTTTTTAGTCTATTTTGTATTTTCTTTACATTTCTTAGTCAAGGGCTGTTATTTGACAAAGAGAAGCTAGGAGATTAGGTTTTATTTTATTTCATGGCTGTGAATAGCATTGATTGACTACATTTATTCCAGTTGAAAACATATTCAGAATCTGTATGCTTTTTTTTTTTTTTTAATATAAATCCATTTCACCATAGATACTTACGTTCAATAAGAAACAGATAGCATATAATCCCCATTAAGGATATTATAATGCCAGGCACCACAAAAGACAGACCCCAGCAGGTAGATACCCAGTAGCCAGCTATTAAGGATCCTAAAATATTTCCTACTGAAGTATGCGAGTTCCATAATCCCATTATCAATCCTCTCCTACAATAAATGCAAAAGAAAAAAAAGTTATTAATACTCTCATTGATATTAACCTTGAGCAGTGAAAACATTTGCACATTTAAATTTTAAGACTCTAGAAGAGATTGTGCACATACAGGCAGATTTAAACCCAGGATCAATCTGGACTGTTATTGCTATCTTTGATAAACTTCACATTAAGCTGGGAAATGATTTGTTTTTGTGGCTCAGTGTAATGCATAGACCCATCCCAACACAGTTCACAAATCACAGCAATATATTCACACATTAATCCTGAATTATTCGCTTTATATCCTGCCTTATATTCTTCAACTCAAAGGAGCATATATAGCACTCTCTCCTCATATTCTTTCCATAACCACCACCCTGTAATGTAGATTGGGATGAGAGCAAGTGAGATTATGGCTTAGCAACAGGGAAACTAAAATGAATCAGATGTATGGATATGGTGTAGTCTATGGCTTGGGCTGCCTACCTTTTACAAGCTCCCTTGCTCAGGAGCCCTTCCCAAAGACACTGTGACCTATCAGTTGATGAGATAGCCAATCAGCAACATGCATGTACTGTGTTGTTATGAGAGGAGGGCACAATTCCAAAGGTTGGGAACTGTGTCTAATGCAAGGTTCATCCATAAGCTTTCCTCCAGGCACATGAACAGGCACATAGGTATTGCTGGCTAAATTTTAGGGTTTTTTTCCAGGATACATTTCACACTAAGACATTGTGTTTGGAACATGATTTTTGTTTATGTGTTAAAACAAACAAACCAAAAACATTTTACTATTGCTTTACACTATCATTTTTTATTAGGAACAGCAAATCACTTAGTAAACTTTAACCTGCCTTCTCTAACTGGACACTTTGAGGCAACCTGGGAGTTCAGGGCCACCATGGACCCGATTCAGCTTATTCAGGGCATGACTCACAAAGGAATCACATGTTAGACCCGGTTTTTGTCTCAGGGCAGTGGTAATGTGCTCTGGAGTTGGAAGATATAGTCATCAATTCTTTGTCATGGATGGATCACTCCATTAACCCTGAAGTTTACTTCAGTTTTTCCCCACTGTAGGGAAGCCGGTTCTATTTGACTGGTCCACCCCAAGTGCTTAATAGATTTGATAGGGTTTCAGAGGGAATTCGAGGTTGATTTCAAAGGAAACTTTGATGCAGGATCCAACCAAGACCTTAGTTACCACTAGAATGAGAGGTGAACAATAGATGTGGATCACATTGTGCTTGTGTGGACTCTGTGCACAGACCTTAGTTTACAGAAGACCTCTGAAAGATAAAGTGCCAAAATATACCAAGAGGACAACTGGAGGAAGACAAAGTGTGACTCCAACACAGGTAAGAAAGCTTACCTTGTGGCAGTAAGCTTTCTTAAAGCTTACCTTGTGGCAGTAAGAGTAGCAAAACATGCTTATCCCTCTGCTCTTACTGCATCCTCCAAGTGTCAGTCAGTGGCTCTGTTCAGGCTGACCTAGTCTCTTCTGATGAGGAGGGGGGAGGAGAGTACTGACAGACTGCTATGAGGACTATTCTTGGCACCTGGTGGATAATGTTGTGTGGATTCATGCTGAGCTGGACTCCAGTTATGCAGCTCCTATGGTGTAGCTGAGATATGGCCTTGTGTAATTATCTGAGAGGAGTTTGATCCTGTTAATCCCAAGGAAGTAGACAGGATCCTTGGGACTGTTAGTGTGTCTACCTGTGTCTTAGATCCATGCCCTTCTGGTTAGTTAAGGCCTCCAAAGAAGGTGCATATTGGTGAATTTGCTGTTGTTTGAAAGAGGAGATGGTCTTGCCAGCTCTGAAAGAGGCAGTGATCCACCCCCTCCTCAAGAAAGCATTGCTGGATCCAACAGACTGGAAACTTTTGTCCTGTCTCCAACATTCTCTTTTTAGGTTGCTTGTCCTGTGTCCAATCTTTTACGCTGTTGAGAAAGTGGTTAATTTGCAGCTCCAAATGATTCTGCAGAAAGTGGATCATCTGGACTCTACTAATTTCTGTTTATGCTTTTAAGCATACTGATTTTATTTTCTTTTTATTTTGTTGTTTGCTTATTATCCACTGCCCAGTTGCAGTTCAAGTTGGGCATCCATATACATTTCATTAATATATAAATAAAGGATAGTTAATAGCACAATTCTGTGGTAAAACACAGCATTTATAGTCTATGAATTTACCTGTGTGTTGAAGCATTATTTTATTAGAGTTAGCTATTTGGCCTTTACCAAAAGATTTCTCCCTTCTGCTCAGACAGACAAAAGAGACAATTTACCTTCCTTTTCCAAACCAGTTGCCGATGCAGGTGACCACACTAGGCCAGCCAGTAGTTTGTACCAATCCATTAGCTACCTGAAATGTTTTTAATGGCAAAGGTTATCCTGCAGCAAAGTATTTTACAGCTATAATATACAATAAGCTAATGTTAATAATAATCTTCAAAGTTAAGGTACACATACCAGCAAAATTATATTATGTTTATTTATTAACGTAATAAATCAGCCAGACTTCAGGTCTCATAGTTTCACTATTCTTTTCTGTCAGTACTGTATTACCTACCATAATTTGATCTCTCCAGGTCTTTTTGACGACTGAAGCATATGGGGTAACTGCTGTGCAACAGACGGGCACGTACTACAGCATGTGATATGTTTAGTTTAATTCTCCAGCTATTTAATTGACTATATCAGCCACCTTCTGCTTTAGCAAAGATTTCTGTTTCTCATTAGGAAATGTGTACTTTGGAACAGTAAGAGTAAAGGGCAGCATTTGGCTTTTTAATTACTTATATATTGTTTTGGAAATAGACTCCTACAAAATACATAGTAAAGCATATACAGTATGTCTTTTTTTTTTCAATGCAAGATCCAGCTATCCAGCTACTTTCAATGCAAGATGATCCAGATTTTAAAGCCAGATTTATAAATTAGTTTGAATTCTACTATTTCCTAACAATCAACTGCTTTTATTCAATAGTAGTCTCGGCTGTATCTGGAACTGAAGCTGCTAAAACTCTTTGTGCTGCAAAACAGATACAAATGTTTTATAGGAGGATAGTAAAATTTCTCCCAAAGGGGAAAAAAAATAGTTTCAAGTGTCTCAGGAGATACCACTGCATAAATCTTCAGAATAACTGCAACACACTTAAGTTTTTAACAAATGGTTTATCTGTAGAAAGAATAATATAAACTTTTCCATCAAATAATAATAATATAAAGTTTTCTGTCAAAGAACAGATTTTCTCTTGTAGCTTTTACAAGGGAATAAAAATTCCAAATCAAGTCTTTAAAAATAATAAAATAAAATAAAAATAATAAAAACATCCAAATCTGAATCAACTTTGTGTTCATACCTGAATAAATTGCACTTTTACTATGCAGAATATTCAATGAAAGCAGGAGTTATTAAGAAATGACAAACCTAACCTAAATACAAACCTAAAATATGATCACACTTTGACATGCTATGCACAATTTGGTATTTCAAAAAAGCTATTGTAAATCTGAAAAAGCAACCAGAATTATTAGTAGACTGAATCAATATTCCTATCTGGAAAATTAAAATATGTATTGCTTTTACCATAGAAGAAAGTAGTTGGGGGAGACATCTCTCTCTCTCTCTCTCTCTCTCTCTCTCTCTCTCTCTCTCACACACACACACACACACACACACACACACACATAAAATGCATGTTACA